TGCTGAACCAGGTCCAGGAAGGCAAGTTCCGGCGAGCACGGGGATGGGGGTGAGACCCCTGTTTAGGGCTCTCGGCCCACGGGTGTCCCTCGCATGCAGCAGGCCTTCCTGGAGCGGGCTGGGCTGTGCTCCAGACCAGGGAGAAAGCAGGGAAGAGGGGGTGTCAGCTGGGGCTGGGGGCTCCAAGCTGCAGGGCAGGGGTGGGGAGTTGAGCTCAGGCTCAGCAGAGGACCCCCGGGGTGGACTGGCCCCCGTTGCAGCCACAGTTAGGCACCTCCCTTGCCCCGTCCCTCCAAATCCTGAGTGTCCCCCGTGGGGTCCGGCTTCCCCCAGTCCATCCTGATCCCTCCCCCTGGGCCCTCTCCTGGCCTCTACCCGTCGTATCTAAACACGGGAGGCTCAGCCGGCAGATCGGCCTTGCTGACAGGTGACAGGTAAGCAGCTGTGCCCCACAGCGTCCCGACAGCTGCTGCTGCTGCTGCACCGGCTGAGAACTCCTGATGCCCAGCCCGCAGGACACCCTGGCAGCCCCCCGTGCTCCACACTCTGCACTGCACCTGGGGGGGCCGTCTGAGCACGCCCCCCGCCGCCACTGTCCTGACGGCTGCGGGCCTCACTAGCCACAGGCCCCCAGGAGGCCCCGGCAGGCCCCGTGTGCCCCCATTGGGGTCTCGGCCTTGCGGCCCCTCCCAGGACTGGTGCCCCTCCTCGCCCCTCTCGGCCCCGCTGGCCAGGGCTCACACCTGCAGTGGGAGCACCATGAGGGCCACGCAGATCATGATGGCCACCAGCAGCTGGGACGGCCAGATCTTGGGCGTCACGTCTCCGTACCCCACGGTGGAGAAGGTGACGACGCAGAAGTAGAAGGACGTCAGCAGGGACAGGTTGCCACCCGCGCGCTCCAGGTGCTGGATGCCGCAGGTCCTGGAACCGGGGATGGGGGTGGCGGCGGGGCCTCGGCCAGCCTGGCTCCGGGGGCGAGGCCGGGCCTACCCGCGACAGCACGTCAGCTGTTGCCGACAAGACGCCCCAGCCTGGGCCCGGGTCCAGCTCTGCACTTCCCGACCCCGGCCTGCGGGGCCGGACACCCAGTGCGTCCCCCCGGGCCTTCCTTTCCTGCCCCGAGGCGCCTTTGAGGCCCCTGGAAAATTGGCTGGGAGCGCGGACACGGCGCTGCGTGGGTTCCGGGTGGGCCTGGGGTCGGACGGGGTGAGCGGGGCCACCCGGGCTGCGAGCCCCTACCTGCCACCCACCTCGGAGCTCGTCCTCCCCCGGGTCAGACGGCGCGGGGCGCGGCCAGCCCCCCTGCCCAGCTAGAGCTGGACAGTCCTTCCCCCGCCGTGGCCCCGCGTCCCGTCCCCACGTACACCGTGGCGCGGCACACGGCGGTGCTCGGGGCCCTCCCCAGGGTGGACGCGCTGGCCGCGGGGTGGGGGCAGGCTGGACCACCCTGGCGCTTCCTACCCCGCGGACACCCCGCCCCGCTCCGCTGGAGTGTGCGTGTGTGTGGCGGGGGGCATGGGGGAGGGGAGGTGGGAGGCACACGGCCTTGGGACCTGCCCCTGTCCTCGCCAGGGGCACAGGCATGTGCCGAGGTGGCGGGCTCTCCGCTCCAGGCCCCCAGCTGCTCCCAGACCTTATTCTCGGCTGGACCTCGAGCCAAGGGTCCCCCCCGGGGCCCCCCCGCCCCCCCCCCCGCCCCGGCCCCCCCGGCTTAGTCACAGTAGCTGGACCTGCACGCGGGGACCCCTTCCTCACGTGCACCCGACTCACTTTCCTGATTCACCTGAAACACCGCAGCCTCACCTGACTCCAGATTCGAGGAGATGCTTCTCGTGCTATCTAGTTCTGTTCTCAACAGATCGCCCGGCTTGTGGGAAGCCCCGGCCGGCGCAGGACAGGTAAATCAACCCAGCCCGGAGCCAGCGCCCTCCTCCACCACGTCTCCCCGGGCCCCCGAGGAGCCGGACTCGGCAGCTCTGGCCTAGGAACCGGGGCTCCGAGCTGCCTCCGGTCGTCCACCCCGGCTTCTTGGACGCGAGGGCCGGGTGACGCGGCCGCCTGGCGGGGACTCACCCCGTGAAGACCAGGCACAGCAGGGTGCAGAAGAGAATGAGGACCTGGTTGAACATGGCCGACTGGGTGCGCAGGATGGCTCGGTGGAAATCGTTCTGCGGGAAGTGGTACCGTCAGGGGCAGAGCAGGGACTGGTGGGCCCTCGCCCCCACCAACCCCCCGGAATGTCCCAGATGCAGGAGAATGAACGAACGGTGTGTGTGGGGGGAGGGCGTGGCCGCGGCTCCACCTGACCTCAGCGCTCGGTCTCCCCGTCCTGCCTCTGCCATGCCAGGGGAGGACCCAGGGCGCAGGCCAGAGGCCGTGACCTCAGCGCCATCACCTCACTTCGCAGTTGGGATGGGGGTGAGCCGAGGCAGCCTGGGCTGGGGAGGGGCACCCAGTCACCGCACCGCCTGCCGACAGGGGCCTTGCTCAGATCTCAGGGCCCTGGGTCTCGGGGCCCCGCCTGCGCTCACTTGCACTTTCACCCTCTCCCTCCTCCAGCCACGATTCCAGGGGCAGGGACAGGCCTGGGTGACTCTCCCGGGGCATCAGGGCTGGGGCTCCCGCTGGTCAGGAAGCAGGTGTGAGGGCATCTCGTGGTGACAGAGACACGTATGTCCACCGGTCAACCTGGCCTCCTGGGCGCCGAAGGAAGCTGGCCAGCTCTCCACAGGGCCAGGGCATGGCGAGCTGTGCCCTGGGGTCTGGGGGCCTTGCAGAGGTGAAGCGGGAGGGGAGGGGAGGGGAGGGGCAGGGCAGGGGGGAGCCCACCCTGCCCAGAGCTGCCCGGCCCGCGGCTCACAATCATGTTCTCCAGGGCGTGCTTGGCGAGCCAGCAGTTCAGAAACACCGGGATGAACAGGTTCCGCAGCGGCGGCCAGAATATCTGCGGGGGAGACGGGTCAGGGGACGGGGCTCGGCGGCCCCTTCCTCAGCTGGGGGTTCACCCACCGTGATGATGAAGGGCAGCGTGTTGATCATCTCCAGAATAAAGGCCACGCGGAAGATCTGCTCCCAGATGTTGCCCTGGGGAGCCAGGGGGGTGGGTTTCAGAGCAGGTGGGCGGGGAGGGGGCCAGGGTGGGGCGGGGTGCGGGGTGCGGGCAGGGCCAGGCCTGGGGCACTCACTTTGTAGCTGAGGTAAGTGAGGAGCGTGGTCTCCAGGAAGCTGACGGCGGCCACGGTGACCTGGGGCGGGGAGGGGCCGGAGCCTCTGAGCGGGGCCAGGGCAGGCAGGGCCCCCCAGAGCCGTGCTGCCTCCACTCACCTGAGTGGCCCACAGAGCTGTCTTCCTCTCCACCCACAGGATGGGGGCCCTGGGGAGAGAGGGAGGTGAGCCCTGGGCCTCTACTGACCACAGGCTGCTGCTTGAGCTGGACGGAGGGCAGCAGCCTTGCCCTCGGAGGGGCAGAGGGCAGGAGGGAAGGGGAGGTGCCTGGGGAAAGGGGGCCCCAGGGCGGGGCCTGTGACGCCGGGGCCTAAGCGGGCTGCCCTGGGGATGGGCCGTGGGCTCAGAGTCCGCAGCTGGCCCAGGTGGCCTCCCCTTCTCGTCTGGGCTCCCGGGGACAGGCTCCTACGCCCGTCCCTGCAGGGGCAGGGGTGCTGGTCATCACGCTCCCCGATTTCTGACCTCAGGTCTTCGTCCATAACCCAGCAGGGGAGGGGAGTGACTTGGCGGCGGGGGGGTGTCCCTGCCCAGACGCAGCCCCGGGACAAAGGCTGGGGCGAGACCAGCAGGAGGGGTTGGGTGGCCGCGCTCAGCGCCGACCCTGCCCACCCTCCCCAGGCAGAGCCAGACCCCAGACGGCCAAGGCCCTGACCCCCATGGACCCCTGTGGGGTGGGAGGGCCCCCGCCGCAGTGGAGGCGTTGGGCAGTTGTTTCCTCAGCCGAGGGACACAGACTCTGAAATCCCCGGGCTTTCAGAGCTGCTTGGACGAGAGTTGGGCCTGGGCTCAGGAGCTGCCCTGGCCGACACTCCGAGTCACAGGCCCAGAAAGGAGAGGCTTCCAGGGCCGGGTGTGAAGGGAGGGGCTGGCGTGTCCCTTCCACCCCAGCTGTGTGTGCCTTCCAGGGACAGGGCGACCGGGCCAGAGCGGGAGAGGCTGCGGAGCTGGGGACAGAGTGCTCAGGGTCTGGTACATTGGGTCCTGCTGCTGCCAAGTACCAGGACTGCTCTGCAAGGCTGGGCCGGGGGTGCCAGGGGAGGGGCGTAGGTGCAGGTTAAGGCCAAAGGGGAGCTCTGGGTCTGGGGAGGCTGGAAGGGAGTAGCCTCCGTCAAGAAGGCGGCCAAGGCCCTGGGACACGTCCTGACCTGTGGACCGGGCACCCCCGCCGCTCTGGCGTCACTTCCCGCTGCCTGACTGGGCGCCTGCTTTCTTTGGCTAAAGGGCCGTGCGTCCAGAGGCAGCGATCGACCCTCCGGCAGGTCCTCGCCGCATCTCTCCTCCCACCCACGGTCCACGAGGGCTGGGCCAAGCCGCCTGCTGGCGACCCCTGCTGTCACTCTTAGGTTGCTGCTGGGCCTCAGGGGCTGTACGCTGAGGGGCCATCCCGCCACTGCCCGCTGCTTGGCCAGGGCCCGGGGATCCCAGGAGGGTCACGGGCTGCGGCTGGGCATCTATCCTGGGGGGCTGGGCAGTGTCACCCTCTGTCCACCCGACCCGGCCCTGGGCCTCTGAGTGGGAGCTGGGTGGCAACTCACCAATTGATCTCGGAGGACGACTCGTTGAAGGTGTAATTCTGCTTTGGGCAGCCCCAGCTGTGGAGAGATGGAGCTGGCCGGCCACGGCCCCTCCCAGCACCGCCCCCGAAGGAACCAGACCCTTCCCAGGGTTGCCACGGGCCTAGGGCGTATGGGGGGCACGCTCTCTCCAACCAGGGCCAGGCCCCCACAACTCAGACAGGCGTCTGTATTCTAACACCGGGGGGGACAGGCAGCCTGCTCGCACCCTGCAGACGCTCTCGGAGGGTCTCTAATGGGTGAGGGGCAGGCCGGGTGAGGAGAACACAAGAGGTGAGCCCAGGAGGGAGTGGGGATTCCACCTGGGCTGCCAGCAGAGAAAGGGCTGCGCGTGGCCAGCGACGGACCATGCAGCACTCAGGGCCTCCTGGAGGCCAGAGCTGCCGAAACAAGGCCGGGCGATGTGCGTGAGACACGAAGCAAAGCCGAGCTCCCGCCCCGTGGTGCCGGCTCCAAGACACATGTCCCTAAGTCACTCCCGAGGACAAGCCTCCCCAAGCCACCTGGATGCCCGTCACTGGGAAAGTGGCAGGGGCCTGGCAGACATGCTATTTCTGCCCCAGATTACAAGCAAAGCCAGGGTCACTGGCCGACGGGACCTCACTCTCACAGAGCCCCATGGTGACGGGCAGCTCCCTCCTCCTTTTTTCTCAACTGACGCACTTCCTAAGCCTGAGCCTATTGTTGCAAACTCAGTGCCCACAGAAGTCGCCAGCCACCCTCCCATCCATCCACCCACACATCCATCCATCCACCATCCTTACATCACCCACCCATACACCCTCCTCTCATCCACCATCCCTTCTATCCACTCATTTATCCACCCACCCATCCACCCGCCATCTATCCACCCATCCATCCAGCGTCCTTACATCATCCACACACACACCCTCTCATCCACCATCCACCTTTCTATCCACCCACCCACCCATCCATCCTCCTCCTATCCACTCATCCGTCCACCCACTCATCCATTATCCATCCATCTCTTCATCCCTCCATCCATCCACCCACCTGTCCATCCATCCCACGCATATATCTACCAGCCCCCTCACCCATCCATTCGCTCTCCCACCCAGCCGTCATGTGCCAGGTGCTGTGCAAGGAATACAACAGAGCCGGTCCCTGTGGGGATGTAAAGCCAGATGTCCCAGACGCCTCTGGGAGTGGGAGAAGGTGGGATGAACCCAGGAAAGTGCTTTGAGAGTCAGAACCCCGGTTTCCTTCTCAAACCACCACGGTGGGATCTGTCCTCCCACACTCCCGATGAAGACAGGAGGTCCGTTCTCAGGAGTGGCTGAGGGTCTGGCCTGGGGAACCTGCCCCGCTGCACGTGGCGGGGAGGTAACTACAAGCTTGCACTGCGAACTTTGACCCCAGCCTCCTTCCTAGCTCAGCCGGCAGGAGCCCAGGGGCCAGGCTTTACGCTGCAGGGAAGAGGGGAAGGATCTGCCCTGAGGAGCCGGGCAGACCCAGGGGACGGTGGTGACCAACCGGCCACACACCCTGACCGCAGGGCCCTCGGCCTCCGAGAGCCCAACCTTAGCCTGAGTGGCCAGACGCTTGAGGAAGTCCCTTCAACATGAGCTCGGGGGAGCAGAGACTGAGCAGAAGGGGGAACTGTAAGAAAGGAAAGCGTTTCAGACAAACCCGAGGTGCTGATGGCAGGGCGCCTGCAGGGGAAGCGTTCTCAGAAATCAGAAAACACAAGAGCAGAAGTGAAAATCTCAACTAGAGGGCTGGAGAGAAAGCTGGGGAAACCCCCCAGAAAGAGCAAAAGAGGGAAGCAGGAGAGAGAGGGCCGTTCCAGAACCTTCCAGAATCCCACATCCGGGTATAAGGGAGTCCAGAGAGGCTCCCGGAGCAGATGGGGAGGTGGGCCGGGAGGGGCAAGGGGAACCGGGTGGAGCCCCAAGAAAGAGGCACACACACCCCCTGCACGGCGAGGCTCACGTCCTCCCCCCACCGAGGCCTGGCACCCCTGCCTGCCCAGCAGGAGCTGCTGAGCGACACAGAGCCCCTTGCTGAGATCCCCCTGAGCACCCCTGGGCAAGCAGGGAGGGGGCATCCCAGACCCCCAAGGAGAGCTCTGTCTAGGTCCGGGTGTGGCTGCAAACGCAGCCGTCGTCCGCGACAAGGACACCCTTCTGTCCATGCTGAGCCGGCTGGTCAGCTGGAGCCTGAGGGTGGCGTCCTGGCCACGGCTCTGTTGGGGAGGGGTGCTGCATGGGGCCCCATGGGGGAAGGAAGGACTCCCCAAGGCCCCGGGCACAGGGCGCCAGGCACGGACCCCTGTGCGGACCCCATCGGCCTCTGCCACAGCAGAGGGCCCACAAGAAGGCCCAGCCGCGGGCCCGCAGGTCACCCACCATCCGATCCCCAGGGCCGGGTCGTCCAGCAGGACGCGGACAATGTAGAGCAGGCAGGTCAGCAGCTTCAGGGAGAAGTTGAACAGCCGGATCCTCAGGCCTGTGGGGGGCGGGACGGTGGTCGGGCCTCCAGGACCGGCCGGGGCCCAGCCCGCACTCCGCCCTCTGCACCTGGGCCTCCGCACCGGCTGCCCCGCGAGCACTGACAGGGTGGCTCTGCTGGGCCGGCCTCTGAGTGGCTTCACCCTGTCCCGCCTCACGGACGTGGTACAGAGGGCTCCCGGGACTGGTGGCACCGGTGGCGGGGGTGGGGCGAGCAACGGACAGACTGACGGACCAGGACCCACGGGCACCTCCACACCCCATCTTGCATCCCAGGGGGCCAAGCTCCTGCTGGGATGCAGGTGGAGGGTACCCGCAGCGGGAGGGTGGGGCCACACGGAGGGGCCAGGGAGCCCCTCGGGGTGAAGGGGCTGAGACGGTGCCACCGGGCTACCAGGGGCGGCGGGTCCCCACAGGGTGGAACGTGGTGCGGGCCAGAGGTGAGGGGCACTCCCGCCGCCCCTGCCCCCCACCCTGAAGGCCCCACTCACTGGATCTTTGGTTTTTGATGAAGGACAGCTTAAGCCTCTCCTTGAAGGTGTTCTCGTTGACATAGAATTCCACCTGGACCCTGGGGGGCGGGCAGGAAGGAGTGCGCCCGGGGCCAGCGGGGGCTCCAGCCCAAAGCCCCCCGCACGGCGGGCCCCTCCCTGCTGCCAGAGCCAGGGTCAGCGCTGCCACCTCGGACAGAAGGCCCTGGGTGCCACATCCCCACGTGCCCCCAGCGGACCTGCCCACCAGCTGCCGCCTTCTCAGTGCCCAGAGACCTCTAGGCCCCACAGAGGTGTATGCTCACAGGCCCCCAGCCTGGGCTGTCACGGCAGCCACCAGGCTTACATGTGGCCTGTGTGGCCCTTGGCTCAAAACATGCCGTATCGTTAGCATAGAATGTGCCAGAAGCCAATGGTCAGCTGCTTTGTCTGGAGGCCCCTGGTGGTTGAGCCTGGAGACTCGCTGCAGCCCGCGGGATGGTCGAGGCAGACAGGCCGGCAGTGGGCCCCATCCCTGGATGACCCCCAGATGCCCTGAGCCCCTGCCCGGGCTCCCAGCATCCTGGGAACAGACCACACGGACTGGCAGGATTTTGCTGTTGAACGAGGAGGCAGGGGGTGGGGATGACCTGTCTGGTCACTACGGTAACGTGGGACCCGGAGGCCACGGGCTACTGCCCCCGTCTTGGCTGCGAGCCTGCTGTGGCCAGCATGCTGGCTAGGTGAGGGCTTAATGTTCCACTGTAACGGAAACTCCAGTGTTGACAGCAGGCAGCACAACAATGACCCTGTAGCCAGGTTCCTGCGGTGGGAATGGTCCAGCACCGCTTTTCCCTCGCCGGGTGGGGGCCCCGGGGCGGGGCTGCCTTGCTCTGGGTTGGCACCTGGCATCTGCCACACGGCCTCCGTTCCAGGCTGCATCTGCCCCATTGGCAGGTGGGTCTCAGGACCCCACAAGCAGCCCGTGGGCATCACCGTGGCCAGTCCTCACCCCCTGACCAGACAGAGGCACCAGGACCCCGGGATTTGGGGCGGGGCCTTTGACCGGAAAGGCCTGGTCCAGATGCCATGCCCTGTGCCTCACCTCACCCAGATGTCAGGTGGAGGTGGCCCCGCCACTCTCAGGGATGTTGTGTGGGTGCAATAAGACTGTCCAGGTGAGGCAGCTGCTCAGCCACACTCTGTGTGAAGACCGTGACAGAGGAGGCAGAGGGACTGAGCACCCTGAAGGCGGAGTAGTGCTACCCAGAGGCATCCTGGAGGGCTGCATGTAGGAGGTGGCGGTTGAGCAGATGGGATGCAGGACAGTAGTCCACAGGCAGAGGTGAGGCGCACGCTGGCCCAGGTCCCTGCTCCCTACCCCTACCTCCCTGTCGTCGTCCACCAGGGTGGAGGGCTGTGAACGTCCTCCCCCTCTGACCAGGCTCCAGCTCCTATCGATGCAGAAATTCATGCCGCTGTCACCTTGAAAGTTTAATGGCACTGCTCTGCCTGCGGCTGGCTGCCCCAACATCTCCAAGAAGTGTTTAAAATATTCATCACTCCTCAAGCCTGTTCTAGGCATAGTGTGTGATATAGACTTGATGTATCGGCAGCGGCCATCTTGACCTTCCCTGGTGATGGGCCCGCGGCAGGGTACTTGGGCAGAGCCCCAGCACCTCCCTGACCTTCAGGCCAGGGTCAGGCCCTGGCCTGACCACAGTGGCCCCAACTGGTCACAGGGCTCAAGAAGGGCCCTGGGGGAGGAGCTGGTGGCGTGGGCCCTTCCCCACTCTCAGGTCCTGGTGCAGGGCGGTCAGCTGGGGTGGCAGGACAGGCCTCCCGCAGACTGGCGGGGTCCAAGCCCAGAGCCAGTGGTCAGTGCACCCCACTGCACCCCAGGACACCCCGCTGCACACTGTACCCAACGCACCCCACTGCACACAGCATCCCAATATACCCAATGCACCCCAGCACGCTCTATGGCACCCCAGCACACCCACTGTACTCCAGCACATTTCTGCGTACCCCACTGTGCCCTAGCACACCCACTGTACACAGCAGCCCAGCACACTCCTCATGTCCCAGTATATCCCTGTGCACACCACTGTACCCCAGTGCACCCGGGGTACACTGCACCCCAGCACATCTCACACCTTGGTACACCCACTGTACTCCAATATATCTCTGTGCACCCCACTGAACGCTGCACCCCAGGATACCCTACTGCACCCCAACACATCCACTGAACGCTGTACCCCAGCACATCCACTGAACGCTGCACCCCAACACATCCACTGAGCACTGCACCCCAGCCTCCTCTGCAAGCGCTACCTGGAGCCGGGTTGCGGGAATCCCTTAGGGTGCCTCTGGGGAGTTGGTCAAATGCCTTCTCTCTGAAGGAGCGGCTCAGACAAGCCGGGCTGGGCCTGGGCCAGGTCAGGGCGCAGACGCCCCTCGGCGGTGCCCACATGTCCCGAGGGACCACTCCCCCACCGTCCTGCCCCGCACAGAGAAGCCTCAAGGAGGGGTCCCCAGCCCTTGTGCCCCTCCACTCGGGTACCCACTTCCTGGCCCTCATCTGGCCAGCAAGGCCCAGCTCGGCCCACGTGGCTGGTGCGCGTGGCTGGTGGCCGAGTCTCCCTCCTTCCTCCTCAGCCTCCCGGGGACCTGCCCCCCGTGCACCGCGCCCCCAGCCCGCATGCCCCTCACGGCGGCTGCCGCTGCTGCCCCCGCAAGTCCCCGCCTAGGCCCAGGGGTCAGGACTGCCAACCGGGACTGGTCAGGCCTCAGACATGGAACCCGTCAGCCCCCTGCCCGGGCGGCTGTGGACACCCACCTGGACAGGCCCTCCTGGCCCCAGGTGCTCTCCACGCGGGAAGAGAGAAATGGGTGGGGGACGGCGGAGCCCGGCGGAGCCCGGCGGAGCCTCGGCCCCGGGAGGCCGAGCCTGGGAGCCCGGGGAAACCCACGGAGCCGCCTCCACTTGTAAGTTTTCACAAGCTGTGGCTGCCCGCTTCTCCCACCACAGAAAGTAAGTTACAAACTTTCCATTTACTCTGAAGTGCGGGTGCAACGGGTGTAATTCAGCTGCAGGATGTGCTCTTGGCTCCGCAAGTTCCTGGGGGATGCGGCCACGCTGGGGTCGCGGCCCGTCTGGCCTGGCAGAGCCCCGCCCCTCCCCTGCCTGCGGCCCCACCTGTCTGAGCCTCGGCCGCCTCACCTGGGGCTCGGGTGGTGACAGGAACCGCCTGCCACGGGCATCCTGAGGGAGCCTGGCAGGGCTGCCGCGACCGTGGAGACGTTAACACGGTCCTCTCTGTGCCTCAGGTCCTCCCTCATAAAGTCCAGGTAAGTGTTGGTTTTCAGAGAGAGGATGAAGTGAGAGACGGCCCACGCCCGTGGCTCGGGCCCCGGCACCCACCAACTCGGCGGTGCCAGCGATCGGGGCTGGACTTGCTCTGAGTCCGACTTTGGTCCACACCTATCACTCACATCACCCAGAAGAGACGGCCCCGTGCCATAAAGCCACGTGTATGGCTGCCGGTGGCATGTGGCTGCCGGCCACCAGCTGTGGCTTGAGGCCCTGTGGTGGCCCCATGGTGGAGCCAGTGACCAGGCCCACAGGAAGCTGCTCTGGGGAGCGGGGGAGGGCTGGGTGGGGACCCAGAGCCAGGAGCCGGCTGCGAGCTCACAGGGCGACGGCCCGGCAAACACAGCTCGAGAGCCCCGGGCGAGGGCAGACAAGGGGTCCACTCCGTCTGCACCCGCTCGCATCCATTCACCCGCTCCTTCGGCAGGACGCCCGGTGGGGAGGCCTGGGCGCACCGCGGGGGCCCTGCTGCCCGCTGCCCGGGGTGCAGGAAGGTCTGCGGCACTGGGCAGGCCTGGTCACGGGGCCCCGAGGCTTCTGAGAGCCCCGGCCTCAGACAGTCCCTGGGGTACCCCCTGCGGTTCGGCCATGAGCCCCGAGGACTGGACAGGCCAAACCCACCCCCTGTCCCGGGACAGTCCTGAGCCCTGCTCCCTTCCGTCCGCCATGGAGTGAGCAGCTCTCAGGCTGGCGAGGACGGTGGTCCAGGCCGGGCAGCTGGAGGGCCATGTCCCCAAGCCCGGCCACAGGCAGGGCCTCTCGGAGGGGTCCCGCCAGCCCCATCCCTACACACATGGAAACTGAGGCCCACCCAGGCTGGATGCTGCCTCAGGTCACGCAGTGGTCAGAGGAGACAGGGCTCTGGACTCCTGATGGGGCCTGGGTCTCCCGAGTTTCAGGGGCGTAGGAGCCAAGTCCCAGCAGGCGGCTATGGCCCATCCCCACTCAGCTTGCGTTCGCTGCCGGTGTGCAGGGTCCTGCCCACGCTGGGGTGGACCAGAGGAGGCCCCCTCGTGCCGGCAGAGCAGCTTGAACTCCACCCACCCCACACCAGGACCGGACCTGCCAGGCGAGGGCAGGTAGAAGGGGGCTGCAGCTCTCCCTGCTGACCGGCAGGCTGACCAGCAGGCTGACCGGCAGGCTGACCGGCAGGCTGACCGGCAGGCTGGGGGAGTGGCCTTCCAGGGATTCCTGGCAGGCAGCTCTGGCACAGATGGCCTGTGCCGGGAAGCGGCAAACGCAGGGCTGGGCGGCCGGTCCCGGTGGGACACCAGGCACACAGCTGTGGGGAGGCCCACCCGCCCGGCTGTGCCAGCCTTGCACTCACAAGGCTGCGCTCACAAGAAGGCCTGGCGACCTTCCTCCCGGTCTGCTGCTGCGTGCCGGCGGCTCTCCAGCAGGTGCCCGGGAGCTCCACGCAGGAGGCCACGGAGCCCCGGGCAAGATGGAAGAGCAGGGCCGGGGCCCAACTGCCAATGCCAAGGCCGCGGCTACTCTGCGAACGGGCAGAGCCTGTGGCCCGCCCTGCTCCCCGGGCAGTGGTAGGACCCAGGGTGGGCAGGCAAGGAGCCAGGCTGGTCTGGGTTTGGAGGTGGGGCCCTCAGGCGGACGGGCTGCTCTGCCCCAGCTGCAGCCTCGCCTGTGGGGCATCGGGGGCACAGGCTCTCCTGCAGCTCCTCCCACGGTACAGGCTGGGGCACAGGCCGCCCACCATCCCACGTCAGCCCA